GATTATTGCAAAAGATTGGGCGCACTATGCTAAGAAATTAGAATTTATAATACAATATAATAAAAATGGAATATGGCATTCAAAGGTTTCGTTAATAAGGAATGATGCATTGGGGAAGATTATCCAACTAAAAATGTATATGCTCACCACACTAGCAAAGGTTTGTACGTCAAACAAGACTTTATATGGCAACACAAATAAGTTAGAGGAATCGGTACACAATTTTATTCAAATATTTTATTAAATTAAAAAGAATAACCAAATTAGTAAGTAAAAAAGCTATTGCAAGTCAAAGTGTGAAATAAAATTTATGTTTTGGCTTGTCAAATTATATGGCGCAATAAAATGAAAAGTCGTACCAATTAGCCACTTATAAAACAGATGCAAAATATCAATGCCTCATAAATAAAATACTCAGAAGTAATCAAGTGGACAATTTGTTTTGGCATTAATAAGTGATATATAAAACTTACGGCGCCTCTTTGGTCGAGCTGACGTTGATAAAGATTCCAAATGCTAGCTGTAATTGCGGCCTTTGTGCGTTCGACATCTTCCGAAAAGCTTGTGTACGCAAACAGAACCCCTTCGGTACTTATTAGAAGAATCGTTTTAATGCCTCCAGTATTTTCTTTGTTAAGAACAGACGTTAGGGCCCTTGAACGTAGCATTCTTGCAGCATATTAAATATTAATTATGTTAAATATGTTAACTAAGGTATAGCAACAGTTATTAGCACAATCCACATCCAGTTTCTGAAAAAGTATAATTTGTTAATTAATAATTTGATATAAAGAAAAGAAAGTAGAAACCCAGTAAGAAAGTAAAGAAGAAATAGAAGGAAGTAAACCTGGTTATGCTTAGCAGCTGAAAAAACGGGGGAATATAATGTAATATAACGCGATAATTATTTTGAGGGTAAATATAGAAACCAATATTACTACTTTTATTTTAACATTTTTTATAAATAAAATATAAAAACGAATTAGGGATTAATTTTTAACACCCTATAATATCATACATATCTCCTCAATCTTAGTTTATAAATTAAAAAATTATTAATCGAAGCTATGAAGACCGGGATAATGTAGCCATCTATATGGTCGTGGTCTCCATTCGTTGTATAGAGCTTGCTTGACCATGTTTTCGCTACTTGATCATATTGAAAAGAAAACCTAAAGGAACGCACCTTGTCCGGAGTCCATAGTATGCATGATAAATTCCAGAGTCAATCTATGGACTTAGGACATTCCCAGAAGTTTCATTGGCATCGTCAGTGATCCTTGCCATTATTAGCCCCACATTACAACTCGTCAAAGAGATAAGTGAAATCGATCCTTTAAACAAATCTGTGTGAAACAGTTGTGGTATCTTTTCTTCTGTTCTGGGCTATTCACCTATCCTTTATCCTCGTATCACCTCTTCAATATCGAAATTTCTTACTTGTTTATCTAATCCTTTCCACTGTGCCAGGAGTGTTGATCCATGGTTGCGGTTTAATTCGCAGTCTTCTCTCTTCGGGTCCTATCAAAGTCTCCTCTTGCTCCGTAAGATCTTTCCCTTATCTGCCTGTTTCAGTGATTTCATTCCATCGCTGCCACCGTATACGTGCTACTTTCGAGGCGTTGTTCTACACACTGTCTAAAGCTTTTGATAGCATGTATGCACCTGCCTCACTGAGAAAACTCCTAAAGTCTGGATTCTAAAATGGCATGGCAAACTAAACTTGACGCTGCAGATTCCCTTATCACTATGCGACCTGTGCACCGAGTGAATCTCGTGGTCAAGCCTGCATGAACCCTCTCTATCAGCAAATTTATCTACTAATAGCTAACTAGAAATGGCTACCACAGTTTTTCTCGCTCTTCTATGACTTTATATTGCGTGCCAACCCATAGATGTGATTGTTCTACTTGATTTAAATCTGCTCACTATAGACGTCTTTTCTTGATTTCCGATTGTTTCTATCTGGTCTCTTCGTAATTTCTTTCCCTAAAATTGAGAGTATTATCTTTATCCAGTCGTCTTCTTTTTGCTAATATTCCTGTTCTCTGATCTTCTCCAAATTTATTTAAAGAAGTATGCAAAGTTTTCGCTAATCCTGTCTTCTTTAAGCCTCCTGTTCATTAGGTTTCTTTCAGTCAGGTTATCAATGGCTTCATGTATTCCCACCATATGCAGCCAACTTTTCTGTCGATTTCGTGTCACGTTCGTGTGATGTGTGCCGCTATTTCAGATCTTTCTGTGTCTATGTTTCTGAGGAGTCTTTGGTGTTCCTTGATTCGTAGGCTAATTTTTCCCAATATACTTCTGCTTACCGTTATCGCATTTGATGCAGTAATTTGTCAACCTTCTTGTGTTCATCGGCAGGCTTGTGAAGAGTGTTATCTTTACTTTTGTTATCACCTTGATATTCCATCTCCCTAGCAAGGGTCGCAATTTCTGGCTCAGATCACAAGAAAGCATACATAGCCACTTTTTGTCGTCCTCCCGAGTTCTGATCTTATTTTCATAAAATCCTATTTGAAATCTGTTCTACATGACCCCTATTTTTCTTTTTATAAATTCTCTGGGTTACCCGTTACTAAGACAAATCCGAGTCAGTTTCCTTAAGTCCTCGTTCCAGAACTCAGTGTCCGTTAGTCTTAGGCTTCTGATGATCATACTCCTCATTAGTCCGATCTTCAATCTGTGATTATGGTGAAACTGGAAATTGAGGATTATTCCCACATATGATTTCTTTCGGAATAGTCTTCTTTTAAGTAGATACGAAGAAATCTCCTGAGATAACATTGTTAAGGGACCTTCATTTCGAATGAAAGTGCATGAAGAAGAGATTCGTTGGTCGATCCAACTAGATGAGGACGGATGAAACTCGTTGTACTGCAGCCGTTTGGCTTTTAGACGATATTCATATTGATCTAGTCCACGAGACTTCCTTCCTCGTTTCGGGTGAAAACATGCTGAGATTTCCTCCATCATATGATGGATATCATCAGAGCTGGGTGTCATTCTTGTAAAAGTCTCACATTTGCACTAAATCAAGAACACTATCCAGCTCTATCTTACTTCTTATATAGACTCAGTCGAGTTAAAAGATTAAAAATTAAAAATAAGGATAGATCGATATAGAGTGGTTTGGTTAATTTTCTTTCCTACTGGTTCTGTTATTTTCGCTTGATTGCATGAGTATGTGTATTCTTGCGTGCTAGGGTCTATATGCAATACGGTTCCTAAATCAGAGTTGTCAAATGTTAAATCTCAGGTTCTGATCCTCAAGCCCTAATGACCCAAGAGAAATCCCTGACCGAAACTGCGTAGGTTCTTAAACAAGTATGGTTTAGATAATTAAATATGAGCTTGTAAGTATGAAAATCAATTTACGAAACCACTTGTCCTAACCTTTCAGTCATGGGTTATTAACGTTTAACCCTCCAAGGAAAGGCAAGATTGGAGTTGCGTAATTTGACATCTCTGGTTTGGTTGATGAGCTTATTCTAACATTTTGGACGAATGTGAGTGAAATTAGAACCATCATGGAGCAGACAAATTGAGTCGCCTGCTTTTTGACTGCGGCTCAACACCTTCTCTCTCTTTCAATCTATCAATCACGCATAAGTAATTCCTACTCAACTTTCTACCTCCATTCCTCACATTCAACGTTATCCTAAGCTATTAATTTCAGTAGCTACTCTTAGCTTTCTTTTGAACACAGAAAGATAGTCTTTCGTCCTCCTTTATGGCCATTATAAATTAAATTTTTTCGTCAATTTGATTTATAAAATTAAAGAATTGCTTAATTATTTTCTTACTATACCAGTAAAGGGCATTTTATTCTTCCAGGAATCGCATAAGCACTCTTGGTTACAGCGGTGACTTCTAGAATTCCTTCTCAAATCTGTCCATGTATACATTTGCCAAAAGAGGTGGTCCAACTATTTGCTCATTGGTACTGCCGTTGAATGAACAATATTTGGCACTTAATGTCAGGTTTATTAGTCCTGCTTACGACTCCTTCCGTATCCGCTCTTCTTCTAAAATATCCTCCCCTCGTTCCAAGATTTCCTGCAAGATGGTGACTGACTTCTCGCCTTAGATTTTTGTGTACATGGATTGTAAATTAAAACTTATTTAAATTTCCGTCCTTGACAGTCCAATATTTTGAATTCTTTGAAAAATTCATATGCTTTTTTAATGGTAACCGAGAGTCTGTTATTTACTTTCTTGAGCTTCAAGCAAATCAATTTTGCTAATTTTTTGTTACTTAATGCCTATTGTTGACTATTAATATTAGGGGATTTCCTTTCTTGTGTATCTTTAGAAGTCAGTAGGTTTAAAGATTTCATCATCCATTTGTAAATTTCCCCATTATTATGCATTTTCTTTAGCATATTCTTCAGTTTCCCGTTGATCTTTATTGTTGCATTCTTTTTTACTATTTTATAGGTGTTC